CCTACATACAAGTATTTGGCCCTAATGCGTGTGTTAGCGAAAAAGTACGATTATAGTATAGAAAAGTGTACTTTGTTACCACTTTTCACTCGACGCTTGTACTTGTTGGCTACCGCTTTCCGAGCTAGTTAGATGTGTGTGTGTGTGTTTGTGTATTTGTGTGTGTATAGAGTTTACGTACGAGTGTGTGCGAGTGTTCGTAGCGAGCTTGCTGCTTGCCAGCTTTTGGTTTGTTGTTGCTGTTTTCCAAATTTCGGTGGCTGGCCGGGCAATAAAGGCCAACTTTTTATTGGGCAACAATCAAGTGGCTTAAGCTCTGCAAACTAAAACTAAATGCGAATACGAGTACTAGTATGCACATGTTTAGCAACACTGGCAATGTGTATTTTCATAAACTGAAACTCGAATGGAATATTTTCCCCGGTTTGTTTATTTTTTTCATTTCTCATATTTTGCGCATATGAGGCGCCAACTGAAGTGCCTAGCATGTGGGGGGAGGGGGCGAGGTTATGGAGAGCTACCAAAAAGTTGCCTTTGCAGTTTATGTGGAGTGGTCAGGGCCACACACACACACCCTCACACACACACACACACACACACACATCCATACCAAGCATAGTGTAACAAGAAGAACAACAAAATAAAGTGGACCGGCGAGCAAACTATCCACTATGATTTTTACGATTTAGTTTTATTTTATTTTCAAGTTGTTGTTGCTGTTGTTGCCCGCTTTGGTTAGGTTTCAGGTTCGGTTTGGTTTTCAGGCGCTGGCTCCCAACTCGCCCGGCAAACTGAGGCAAACTAACAACGCCCCGAACGTGATTTTCGCGCAAATTTTCACATAGCGGATGCAGCAGATAAAGCCAAACAAAATTACACGTTGAAACGTGCTAGAAAAATGAAGCGCGAAATCAATAATAACACCCACGCACACAAACACACACACACAAACATATACACACACACACACCACAAACAATTACAAGCATCGGCTGTTGTGTGATGACTCTCTCTCTATAGGAAAGAACAAGTTGATGGAAGAGTAATGATTGGGACGGGCAGAGGGACGGGACGTGCAGAGGGAAGGGGATCGCTGGAAAACTCGCTACGTGGTTGCAGCGACTGAGCCGCAACTGCGTTTTCGGTTCGTGTGACGTGTCACGCACACTAATGCAACAATAATAGTTGGCAATTGTGGCAGGATGATGATTATGATTTGGATGGTGATGGTGATGATGATGATGAGACGGTTGTAGGCAGCAGAAGGGAGACTCTGCAGTTTGTCAAACAAATCAGCGCAACTAATTGATTGGACCTGCGAAGCGAGACGGGGACGGTGACGACGATGCTTGCTGAATACAGCATTTTCATGAAAAATCCAACAACTGCATTTAATGGCAGTGTACAGTTTCAGACTGCAACCAACTCTGCCCTGAACCTATTCTATACACTCTTACATTTTTTTAATCGCAACTCCTTGGAAGGGGTTCTTCATAAATGTTGGCTTAAAGTGTTAGTTTCTAGAACGCCCTCAAGGCTTACAATGAAAACGAAAACATAGTGTATTGTGAATATTTATTTATTTATTGAGCACAACGGCCTTGCGAATCCAAATATTTTCAATAATGAAGAATTTAAACAGCAACTACATACGAGTATATAACAAATCCGACATATTTGGATTTTAATAGTGAATTTAGTTTGTCCAAATTCTTGAATTGAACTTACAAGTTATTAAGCATTTATTGATATCCCAAAAGTAAAAGGATTTTTAAAATCAATATTTGCTCTTCTTCAATAAATAGGCTTCAAGTTATACTTAATAGACAATAGCATTTAAATGAAGTATAGCTTTACAAAATTGTTAAGCAAATAATTTTCTCTTCAATAAATAATCCGATTTTCCATAACAAAGCTGCTGAAAGGAGAAGCTGGAATACAATTTTGGAATTGCGAATTAAAATATTTACAAGTATGTAATATGTATAAGGATTTGAGTCGAGTCAGATATAAAGCAACTGACTACTGACTGGCCTTCAATTCAATTCACAACAAACGATTGTTGCAGCAGGGAGGTGGTGCTGGTGGTGGGGTGGTTGGGTGGTTGGGTGGTGGCGTGAGTTACGTTTATCTTGTGGACGCACAAGTTAGCTTTTAAATTAATGAATAAGAAACAGAATTCATATCTATGGCCAAACAACACTCGAGCGGACAAAGCTGCTGCTGATATTATCAGCACAGTGGCGCCCTCCAGCGACTGTTTTTGACACAATTTATGTTTTGCACTTGTATAAATTGCATAATTTCATTTAAAAATGAATGAAATCACAAACAAAACGGCAGTTGGGCAAAGAAAAAACAAAACAAACGATGCATTTGAATGAAAATTAAATTAAACAATTTGCAATAAAAACAAACAATAAAATTGCTAGTACATGGCAACAAAACATCTACAACTACAGCAACAGCAACAGCCATAGCTACAGCCACAGAAATAGCAACAGCAACAGCAACAATAATAACAATAACAGCAATTTTCACAGCAACAGCAACAGCAACAACAACAATTGCCGGACAAAATGGCATTTTTAAGTACAAAATGTGTTGCACTTAAAAGTATGCAACGTTTTTCCCCTCGCCTGCATGCGTGCATGTGCTCGTGTGCGTGTGTTCGTCTGTGTGTGTGTGTGTGCCTGTGTGCACGACCCGCGAAACTTTATTGCTACAACACAAAAAAAAGAAAAAAAAAACAACAACAATGGTCACATTGAGCTTTGCTGAGTGGCAGGATTGTCGTCGTCAGCGTCCTCATAGTCCTCGTCCAACGGTAATAATCACAATACACATGCTGCCAACACTTATGCAGAGGAAGCATTTATAATGCTACCTTAACGTTTTATTCGTAACTATGCTCCTTCACTCTTTCTCTCTCGTTCGGTCTCACTCCAACTCCAAGTACTTGCATAGCTCTTACCTTTATGGTCACCATTTGGTTCATTCTTCTGCTCACTCCTACTCCTACTCCTACTCCTACTCCTACTCCTACTCCCACTCCCACTCCCACTCCCACTCCCATTCTCTCTGTCTCCGGCTCGGTCTCTGTCTCGTTCTCCCGCTGCTCTCACTCGTCAACATTCTTCTCATTCCGGCTCCACTTGGTGTTTTTTGTGTTCATTCACAAGCCGTTTGTGCTCGAAAGTCGTGCTGATGGGCCCTGAACTGCTGCTTTTAGTTTGTTTGTCGCCCAACCGGCGGGTTGGGTGGGGTCCCCCCTGCTGGACTCCAGAAAACGACAATGGTCAAGCAAACACGCAAAAACACCGGCAACAACAACAACAACAACAACACACACCACACCAACACCAATGGCTAAAGAAATGGTAGCTACAGGAGTGTGAAGTGCAGGACAGCTTCTCTAAAGTGGAATCTCCACTACCTCATCCATTCTCCTTTCAAAATTTACAAAAAAAGCAATTTTTTAGTAGAACTACTCATATTTTGTAGAGACTTAAGACTTCCTTTTCGACATGACGGGAAATGTTTTTATAACTGTTGATCAAATGTATTCCAAATTCGAATTCATTTCTTGAAGAGTAATAAAAAGAATATAGGTTGTTCTTTAGGAAACTTTTGTGCTTTTTATTCTTCAAAGTGTAAGCAGAACATTTTAAAAAAGATTTGAGAAATCGTTGCCTTCAACATCCAAAGAATAATTGAGCAATGCACTGAATTTATTTTGTGTAACAATGCTTTAACTTGCAGTTTCCAAGTGGAGCCTTGGCTTTTATATTCAAATCGGATTAGCTTAGAGAATTCAAGCTGAATTAGGGCAGGGAAAGTGCTGTACAATTCGAGATTATTGCATAAATATTGAAATGTACAAAAATACTTATAGATGTTGGACTGTAGAACTACAAGTATTACAACATGGTCATGGACGTCCCGTCGTCGCTGCCGCCTCCCTCGCTCTCTCTCTCTCTCTCTCTCTCTCTCTCTCTCTCCTGTTCGCCCCAATCCTCTGTGCCAGCAACACTTATTTACACTGTTGTTGCTGCTGCTGCGATTATCTGCCCCGCCACACTAAATCAGTGCACACACACGCATAGTCGCTTATGCTGCTGTTCCCCTTCGGCCCCGCGTCCCCCCTCTGTTTCGATCTGGCTGGGCCCACTGTTTATGGTTTTTGGCTACAACTTAATTTAAATTGTTTAATTCTATTATTGTTGCTAATAAATCACAGGCACAGCATGTGCTCTCCGGCTGGCTTAGCGTGGTAAGCTGGCGCATGCACACATCACACACATACATTTTCATAGAGCTCGCACATTTGTCTTCTGCACACACACACACACACACACATACACACACAGACACACTTGCTCATACACACACAAATATGGAAATATACGCATACAGGCGTTTATTTTTAGTTGCTCCTATTGGTGTGGCTCTTGCTGTTGCTGCTCTTGTTGTTGTTGTTGTTGTAAGCGGCTTTATCGCTTTTGCACTCTCACATTGGCAAGTGTCGCTGTCCACCATTGTACTCTTACACACACAGACACACACACACACACGCAAATAAGGCCTGCATCAGCTTTCGCCTTTGCATACTTTTAGGCATTGCCAGCTGCCCGCCTGCTGCCACCCTGGCTGGCTAGCTGACTGGCTATTGCGTGTTATAAATAACACTGATCTGGTTGCTTTGGTTGCTGTTCTTGTTGCTGTTATTGTTGTCGCAACTGTTGTTTTGGCAACTTTGTTGTTATTTTGAGTTCTCGCATAAATTTCTCCACCATATGGCACATACACAGCTCAATATACAAGTATATGCAGTCTGTCTTAATATACATACGCACATTGCTAGAATACACACATACATAAATATATATATACTTGTATATATACATACTTGTATTTTGTAATATTGCTAATGGCTATGTATCTGAGGCATTGAGCATTAATATATGAGCTGGTATTTCGTAATTGCGTGCAAGTTTGAGCATCGGTGGACACCCGATAGTCAATTTTATGCTCACTTGGTTGCTGTGTGTGCAGATAAGCGTATTTAATTGGGTGGCCCAAGGCAAAAAACTCGAAATTATTTAAAATGACAAAGTAGTTTGAGAATCATATGTAGAACTCTATTAGAGATAGGAAATGTTTTTGTTGTTAAAGCGATCTCCACCATCTCCATTAAAATCAACTTGAGGCGGAGGAGCGTTTTTGGAATACGAGCCTAGCGTCAAGAGACGTTGAGATCTCGCTGTAAATAAGTATAAATATTTCTTGGATACAGAAATTTATTGCAGTCATCTAGATAAATAGGTCTTCTTGATTTGATTAAAAAAAAAAACAGATTGCATTATTACCTGCAGTATTGTACACGAGCTTGTAAAAAATCATTCAAAGCGTTGATTATATGCCTGCATTTAATAATCAAGGCAATTTGGCCCATACACCGACTTTATCGCTTATCTGTTCTCCCACGATCATAAATACAATTTCTTTGCGTAATTATATTTATGTGCCTTGTTGCATGAAAAAAAACCTGAAATGAATTAAAAGGCAATCGATTCCTTTGCCGGAAGAGCTTGTTACACTTTGAAGCTAGATCTTCAAAAAAATATAATTCAATACTTCCCTCCAAGCTATACAGAATTTCAACTACATAGCTTAACATTCTAATTTATAGTGTGCAGAAATGTTAATTGTTAAGCCTCTGATCAGTAACAGACTGCTGCATTGAACTTAAGGAGCATTTACAGTCTGCAGAAATGTTAATTGCCACCCTGTTAAACGGCCATAGCATCGCTATTAAGCCTCTCATCAGTAACAGAATGTTGCATTGAACTTAAGGAGCATTTACAGTTTGCAGAAATGTTAATTGGCACCCTGTTAAACGGCCATAGCATCGCTATTAAGCCTCTCATCAGTAACAGAATGTTGCATTGAACTTAAGGAGCATTTACAGTTTGCAGAAATGTTAATTGGCACCCTGTTAAACGGCCATAGCATTGCTGTTAAGCCTCTGATCGGTAACAGAATGTTGCTTTGAACTTTAAGAGCATTTACAGTTTGCAGGAGTGCTAATTGGCACCCTGTTAAACGGCCATAGCATTGCTGTTAAGCCTCTGATCGGTAACAGAATGTTGCATTGAACTTAAGGAGCATTTACAGTTTGCAGAAATGCTAATTGGCACCCTGTTAAACGGCCATAGCATCGCTGTTAAGCCTCTGATCGGTAACAGAATGTTGCTTTGAACTTTAAGAGCATTTACAGCTTGCAGGAGTGCTAATTGGCACCCTGTTAAACGGCCATAGCATCGCTGTTAAGCCGCTGATCCGTAACAGACTGTTGCATTGAGCTTTAAGAGTCTTGCTCAGAATTCACGGAAACCACTTGACTATGGAAAATGTATACAGTTGTTATTTAAATGAAATAAGTGTCCACTTGGATTGGCTTGGCGTTTCAATATCAGTTGATGTCAGTTGATGGTTGCACATGTTAGCGATTTCTAGTGCTAGGCGCCTGTTTTGAAGCACGCCAACAAGTAGGCAACATATTTTTCCTGTTTTTTCACCTTTCTCGCATTCAAGTGCTTGTGCGTATGTGTGTGGGCGCCTGGGTGTGCGTGTGTGTTGGACTCTCTTGTTAAGCAGAATGCGGTCAGCGAAAAATTTCAATTTCAGAGCAAATCTTTTGTGTATTTTTGTTTTTTTTTTTTTTTTGCTGTGGAGAGGGGACACTTTTTATGCTCAAAAGCCGCATGTCAAATGCAGAACATGATGCCGCTTGACCGCTTGATGACATATCTCATTGCTCTGCTCCTCTGCTCCACCCTCCTGCTGTCGCCTTCTCACTTTGAACAAAGCGGCGAGGCAAAGCCAAAAACATAAAATTTGCCAAGTGGACAAAGTGATGGCCCATGCGTTTGTCAAATGCACTAAAAAGCTGAGAATGATAGCGAATGAAATATGCATTGCATAGCTTGGGGCGATAAAACAAGGCAAAATGAAAATGCAATGGAAAAAAGGAGAAACAGCAGCAAAGCTCCCGCGACTGTTTTGTACTCTTCAAAACGAGTTTTAATTATGATTTAAAATTGTAAACATAATTTTGACTGTTTAGGGCTAAAAGTTTTTGCAAATTTACAACTATTGGTCGCTCTTGTTCTACTTAGAGAGATACAGATAGGAAAATGGACAGGCTTTGTGTCCGTTTCGGGTGTAGGGTATAAATATGGAGAAAAAAGAAAGCAAACAGACAGCAACTGGAATACAATGCGAGGCTGTTATCGAGCGTAGCCTGTAGCTGAATTTCCGCTTAATGTTGCCTGATAATAAAATACAAACACCAACACCAGCACCAACACCAGCACCAACACCAGCACCAACACCAACAGCTACAGCAACACTAACAACAACAGTAACAGTAGCAGAAAAAGCAACAGCAACAACAACAACAACAATGTGGCTGCTGTGCGAAGCGATAATGAAACTTTTGCCATGTGAACAACACAATGGGCAGACACACATACACATATACATACACAGACACACACACACATGCATTGATTTATGTTTTTTAATTTAAAATTTCCGCATCACTTAAACGTTAAAAGTAATAATAACAACAAAAACACAACAATGCCTCGTGATTTAAATATTGTGTATAAAATGCCGAAGAGAGCAAAAAAGACAGAGACAGAGACAAAATATATGAATATATGAAAATAAAATAAACACAAAAATTGCAATATAGAGCGTACATTTTTTACATGTTTTAATTTCCGCATTACAACAACAATAACAACAAGAATGAAGAAAAACAGCATAAACTCAATGGCAATCCCCCTCTGCCTCTGCTCTACTCTTTACAGATTGGGTCCCATGCAAAGTGCCAGCCATCAGCAACAACAGCAGCAGCAACAACAGCAGATGCCACAAAGTATGTCAACAGGCAGCAACACAATCGGCCATGGTGGCATCGATCGTGGCGGCGTTGTCATGCCCATGGGCGCTGGAACAATGCCCGGGGGCGTCGGCGGCGGCAACGGGGGCGTCCCAGTGGGTGGACCACCCATGGGCGTGGGACCAGGCGGCTCTGGTCCACATTGTCAGATAAGCGGCTCACAGCCATTGGTTATGCCTGGATTTCCATTGCGTAATTCCCACTCAGCGCATGCACCGCATTATTCGCCATATTCACCATCCAGGTAAGTGCGAACAACAGACACAGACGCGGCAACCGAAAGATAAAGTAAATCAGGCCAGGCTCCATGTTTCTGTATATTGGTGGCATATGGCCAACGGGGCCAATACTGTGAAACGCACGAAATGTGCTAAGTAGGCCCATATGGTTGCCTGAACTCCTCTCCATCTGTGGCCGTGCATTTGTTGTTTTTTTCCCCCTTTTTCTTTTTTTTAAGTCGCGACGCGAATCCGAAATGTGAATGAGTCAACAGATGAGAGTTCGCTTTCGAATGCACACCCGTGCATTGGTCGACCTGAGAAGAAACTCTTTTAGTTAAAAGTTGGTTTGATATATTTTCGCAGCATTCTTAATCCATAAAAGAGACTTGGTTGCCCGTTTTCCTATTCAGCCGTCGAGCTGCATTTGGTCGGACTCTAATCAAACCGTTCTCCCCAAAGTACACTTGAGACTGGGTGTGAATTAAATCTTCGTCAATCAGTGTCTTAACCTCGCTAGAAACCCATTTTAACATTGAATCTGTGAACTGAGTTTCTTGGTATTTGTTCGATCAAATCTTTAACGCCACAGACAATTTGTTCGCCTCACCTCAATGCAACCTGGAATTGATATTCTGATGATCCACGTCTAAGGATTCCTGTTCAACTGATGGGTAGAGTTGAAATTGGCATTGAAATGAATTAAAAATTAATTATAGAAATTAACAACGAGTTTTACATATTTTTCGCTGCTAATTTGGTTTATTTCGGCTTACAAGAATTTGGACAGACTGTTCTCCTTGAAGCTTAAAATCTGACATAAAATTTTGCCATCGACAGACGTACAGACACAGGCACACATACGCACAAAGGACACGCTCTGCTGGTTAGTTTTTTGTTCCCTGTGGCCTCGCTTTACTCCACCTCGTTGTGGTTGATCTCACTTGGCTGGACTTCGTGGCGGTGGAGCATGTGGCGCCAGGCTCGATTGCGTTGCTGCTGCTGTTGCTCCGCCACAAGGATCAGCTGATCGACCTTCTCGCGCACCAATTCGTAGACATCAGCGGGCAACCACTCCTGAATCAGGTCCAGAAAACGCTGCGGCTGCTCGCAAATGATGACAGCGTTGGCCAAGTGCCCGACTCCCACATGTGTGCGTCCATGGTGCAAGTGCCACTCCCCTTGGGTCAGATGCCAGGTGAAGAAACGGTGCATCGTGTCGCGTCGTATGATGCTGCGACGCCGCCGCTGGGACTCGGCCTGCTTGCGACGGAACACCGAGAACAAGGTGTAACCCACGAAGCCGACGTTCAGCACACCGATGGTGATTCCGACTAGTCGGTTCATCCGCTCCATTAGTTCAAGCAATATTAAAACTTATTTAAAAAATCAAATTTGGAATATGTTCACAACTCGACTGCTCTCGCTAGAATGAGCTCTGAATAAGTTTGGGACTGGAAACACAGGATACGGCCAACTGGGCGAACACAAAAACATCCATATAGAACAATAAATCGATTGATTGGCAGCTTGCAACCGATATCGATATGTTTCCGGAATATTGGTTTGATTTTAGAAAACGTTCGTTCAGTTATTAGAGAATCATGAAATCATACAAAGCAGAGCAGCAATTTCTTATCTATTTCTCGGCTTATTCCGACATGTCCTCAACCCATCACCACCTCAAATGTGAGGGCCATGTGTGGTCGTCTGCACTGCAACGCCTATCAAAGTTGATGAGCTGAACATATGGCCGATATAACAAACTTGTCCATATTATGATGGTATGTGCGTGCCCATGAATAATGCGGAGAGAAGTCGACTTTATGTTGGCTACAGCCACTTGAGGGCTAAGCCGGCTAAAGCTTTTGAAGGGTTGATCATTATCATTATCATTATCATTACCAACACGCTCGACGCTTGACAGCGCCTGTTTGCCAGGGTTGGCTTTATTAAAAAAGTTTTGGCCAGTCGTTGACAAACTCATTGCCATGAATGTGCGTGTCTCTGTGCGTGTGTGCGTGTGTGTGTGTGTGTGCGTGTGTGCGTGTCGGATATGTGTCTGTTGGCAAGTTTGTTTTGCGGTTCTTGTGTATGGATGCTGCATGGAGAGCCACAGGGCAGGGCAGGGCAGGGCAACTAGCTGGCCGTAGGCCTCTCGTCCTTACGAACCTCTTGCGCCCCATTGCGGTTGCTGGCCATGTTAATTAGAAATGCATTTCTCAGTTTGTTTAAAGCATTTGTTGCACCAACAGCCTAGCCTAGCCTAACCGAGCCGAGCCGAGCCTAGCCAGAGTCATACTAATACCACAATCTCTCTTCTCTTCCCTTCTTCTCTTTGCACCCCCACAGGTTTCATATAGATAAACGCTGTCAGCACCGATGTTCCTGGAAATGCTTGAGTATCGCCTTAATATTCGTATCCGTCGTCCTAACCGCCATGTTGGCATATTTTGCAGGTAAGCCTCGTTCGTTCCAGCTCGACGTTGTCATAACGCCAACGCCAACATAGTTAATGAAAAATACACATACACGTATATATGCAAATATGCGCCTTGTACGTACTTGAAAGCGTATGCAAATACCATGCATGTATACGTGTGTATATAGACACACACACAACTATTTCAGGTATGTATGTGTGTGTGCGTGTGGGGCATTTGCTCAGCCGACGACGCACATACAAGGCAAATACATAAAAGTGTTTGCTTTACATTAGCGTTAAATGGTGTTACTTTACATACTCACCCACACACACACACACACACACCCACACACACACACACACATAATGCCTATATATGCATACGCTTTGCAGAAGGCAACCAAACGAACGAACGAACAAACGAACAAGCCTTGGCGTAATCGAGCGTTCGTTCCACTTTACCTTTCGTCCACTCAATGCTTAATGTTAATAGATAAAAGTGTCCAGCATGTCCTTGTTGCTGTTGCTGTTGCTGCTGTTGTTGTTGTTATTGTTTGGCTGTGTGGCACATTGACAAGCAATTAGAAACCGCAGCCAAGCGAGCAACGAACATCGAAAGAATCGAAAGCGAACGAGCGACCAAAACTCTTAGCTTGTGTGGGAGGCGGCAGCAAATGAAATTTCCCACACATTTCGAATTATTGTGCCAATGTGTGATGAGCGCCAGTTGGGCAAAAATGCAGTCAATGGTCCATTCCAGCAGCTATAGCGACAGCAATAAATAGAGCCAGAGCAGCAGTTGCATTTATTGCCACGACATTTAAAAACGCATAACGAAAAGTGCGCCCCACAAATGTTCGAAGCCATGACTCCTGAAAGCTAGTTGCTGGCATTGACAACCAAAATGGCATTACTTTAAAAACGCAAGGAAATTGAAATCAGTTTATTTTCAAACACATGGAACCACAAGTATTGGTTTCATCTTGAAGACTGCGCCACTACAGACATGTTCTACATAAATAAATGGCTTCCAATTCCAAAATCGTCTTGCTATTCTAAAATATTTTCATAGTAACTTAGTTGGATCGCCTCTGTTAAAAGCAAATATCAAAACTATTTACAATTTGTTTCATCATTTGGTAATCGAGCATTGGAATTTCTGTGAAAATTTCTTTAATTGTTTCGTAACCATTGTCACAAATTGTTTACTTTTTTGCGCACTCCCATCAACATGGGATAGACATTTTTCTTGCTTTATCTGCATTTTTATTTGTTCAAGAATAAATATATAAAATCATAGCAAGCTCAAATGCATAGAGAAATTCTGCGCATTTCACATCTTACTTGGTTGAAACTTTAATCAATTACATGATATTTTCTCTGCAATGTGCAAGTATATAGATCTGGAGAGTAAAATAGATGGGATGGCTTGGAGCTGTTTTCGTTTGTCTATTCGTTTTTGCTTTGCTGCTTGTAAACTATTTCGAGCATTTTCTATAGACAACTCGCAAAAACAAGCTGCTATGCCAATTATGCGCCTCAAATTGTGCTACACTTATGCAAATTGCGCCAAAAGCAACATCACATACTCGTTTGCACACACACACACATACATACATGCATACTCGCATACGGAAAAACTATTGAGTGAATGCCTCAGCACGCTAAGCGACAAATGCTGAACAAACAGGCAAACGAACAAACAAACAAACCGACCAACATGCCAACAAACGAGCGCACAAAAGTATGCTTTAAAATTTAATGCAAAACTTTTTGCCAAAGCACTGACTACGCCTCTCATTGGCGTCGTTGCTGCTTCTGCTGTTGCTGTTGCTGCTGTTGCTGTTGTTGCTGTTGCTGTTTTTGTTTACAACTTGATAATTAAACACGTTTGTTGCAAAAAGGTATAAAACGTTGGGTCGTGTTGTTGCTTTTGCCGTCTCCGTTGCTACCTTCTAAATTATATTTACAGGTCAATTCAATTTTTTCCCCAACAACCTTGGCAAAAACAACTAGCACTTCTTGCCACCTCATCTCTGTATCTATATATATATATATATATATATATATATATATATATATATATACAAGTAATATGTATATGTGTGTGTGTGCGTAACTGAAATAAGTTGGTTGGCTGGCTGTTTGTTGGTCTCTCTGTGTGTGTCTGTGTGTGTACAGCAGGTGGGGTGGCGAAGGGAGTGGAAGGCGGTCTCCTGTTTTTGCTGGGCTAGGCTAGCAAGCAAAAACTTTGCACATTAAAATATGTAAATTTTAATTTGAAACAAAAGGGTTGACGACGACAACGGCAACGACAACGTCGACGTCGACAGCGGCGGTGACGGTGACGGCAAAGACAAGGGCAAAAAGCGGAAGCTCCACAAACCGCCCCCGCCACCCAACACAGTATCGCTTGGCCTTTGCCTTGCATTTTATCTGGTGAAACATTGGCACAACTTTTTTGGACACTTTTAACGGCTGCACTGAGAAGAAGAAGAAGCTGAAGAAGTAGAAGAGCGACAGCAGTGACGACGCTGCCAACTTGCTTAATAAATTTTCACGCGTCACATCTCAAAATTTATGCTTCACAAATCTAGCCATAAAATAAACCCAAGTCAAGTCTGCCAACATTGAGCTTTGTACTTGTATTTGAAAGCAAAAAAAAAGAACGACAGATAGACTGATGGCTCGAAAAATACTTTTGGGCTAAATTGCAAACATTCCTTAATTTAAATGCTGATACGCCCAAGGCTTGCTTTTGCCTTCTTCCTGTCCATAATACAACTGCTGTCCTTAATACTGATACTCTAATAGTGGAAACATCGAATACTATTTCAGTTATCGCATTTTTTTATGGAAACTAGACAAAACATTTCTGTGCATTTTCCAAAGCTCCAATTTGTATTTTCTAATTAAAAGTGTAATTCATACAGAAAACATTTCCATTATATACAAGTATTTTTCGCCTTTTTATTTATTTTCTCTTGATGGAATTTGATATTCTTCAAGTCCCTTTACTCGACTCGTTGTGAATACTACAAATGTGCTCTTCTTCATTTCATATTTTTTTCACATTCGCTTTTAATTGGGACGCGAAAATGGCATTCGGCATCCATTTCACATTTCACGCAGGCAACGGATACGGAAATCAAAGCAAGCTAAAAAAAAGGTCCTTGTAATATCTAATTCCCGGGCCGCATCTACTCCTTTTCAATGACCCAACACTGGCAATATCGGTCAGTCAGAACGTATGGCTGCGCAATAGGTCTGATATGCTTGATGCAATCCGTCCCTTCTTCCCCCTCCCCATTCACCTGCTCATCCTCCTCCGCGCCCAAGCGATCACTGCCGTGCATTTAATTCATTATCTACGCTTTGAGCGTTTGAAGAGCTGAGCAAAGTGGCAGCTGCTTATAAGTTTGAGGCACTGATTTGCCACGAGAGTGCGTGTGGGAGCAGAGCTGAGCGGAATGGAGTGTAAAGCAACCGGTAGCTACAGCTTTGCCGCTTGCATGTTTGGCTTGTGAGGAGCCCCCTCTGCCGTCCCTCATGCCTGTGGCATTTGTTGCCTTGCGGTGTCAACGCTGAAGTGAACGAAAACAAATTTACAACCAACCACGAGAAAAATGTGATTTCACTTGGCTGGCAGGGGTGGCTACCAGCCCAAGCCCAAGCCCAAGCCCCACTCCACTCCACCCACCCCACCTCTTTTCCATCCCCGGCTGCCATTTGCTGTTCGTGCCATAGCCAACGATTACCCATACGCCATGTTGAACTTTTGGGCGCTTTGGCGCACAAAATGAATTTAAGTTGAAAAGTTGTGAACATTTTGTGGCGCACAAAGATGTTGGCGTCGCTGCTGGCGTCGCTGCTGCTGTCAAGCGTGTGGATTTCACTGATTTAATTGTTTTCCAACGCACACACACTCAAGCACACACACACACACACACGCACACACATATCCTTGCACACGCTGGTGCTTGAAATTTATCTTTTAAAAATAATGTATTAATTTTTGTGGCTGCCAAACGCGCGCACAGCCCGCAGCAACAACAGCAACAACAGCAGCAACAGCAGCGCGGTGGCAGCAACTGCGACGGCGGCTTTGGCCCCTAAAAGGCGGCACCATAAACTCATTTGTGTAAAAAGCTTTTTGCTTGGTTTGCGTTTTCGTTCCATGCCGTTTCACTGCGGTAAATGAATTTACGCTCCTGCCTGCCTGCTAGCCTGCCTGCCTGCCTGTATGTGAATGGGTGTGTTTGTCGTTTTTATGATTGAATAGTTTTAAAGTTGTGTGTGTGTGTGTGTGTGTGCAAATGTGTGGGGCTTTGAATTGGCTAAGACAGTGGCAGATGCTGCTGTTGGCATTACTGCTCTGGCGTCAGGTGAATGTGTCCCAAGTTGCGCTCAGCTTTTAATAGTGGCTAATATTTTGCAGCTGCCTCTCCCTTCTCTCCTCGCCGCTCCTCTCCTCTCCTCTGCCTCCCTCTCTCACCCCTTCAACTCTAGTGCTGTTGTTTTTGTTGTTGCTGTTGCTATTTAGGGGCTGCATCTGTGTGGGTGTGTGGGGTGTGTGTGTGTGTCTGAGCGACGTCTGTTTGCACAATAATTTTCTATTAATTAAGCGCAAGAGGGTTTAATAAAATTAGCAAACACTTGCGGGCCATGTGATGTCTGTGTAAACAATAAACTGTGTGGCTGTAAGTGTGTCTGCTTGTGTGGGTGCACATTAAAAAATACACGCACACACACATACACGTACATATGTACATAAAATCATGAGCGTAAGCCCGCAATGAGCCATTGTCAGTTAATTAGCAAGACACACACACACACACACGTACAAGTTCACAGACTAATAAACAAATGCCTATGTAGCCTGCCTCTTTAATTTGATTTGCATTTGACAGATGTGAGTGTTAATGTACGATTGTGTGTGTGTGTGTGTGCGTGTGAGTGGAGTGGGCGACAGCTGTTCTTATTAGGCTTAGCTTACGACATCTGCATAAGTGATTTAATTGATGTGCTGTTGAT